CGATCATTGTCTGCTGCTGGAAAAACATATGTGTTATGCTTTACACCCCCTGCTATATTGTGGATACAGAGTTACCTGTCTAACAGAACATAGAGGGTGTTCTTTAATAGAAGCCTCTCCAACATAAACCAGGTAGAATCAGGAATTCCCCAGGGCAGCTGTCTAGGCCCCTTACTTTTTTCAATCTTTACTAACGACATGCCACTGACTTTGAGTAAAGCCAGTGTGTCTATGTATGCGGATGACTCAACACTATACACGTCAGCTACTACAGCGACTAAAATTACTGAAACACTTAACAAAGAGCTGCAGTTAGTTTCAGAATGGGTGGCAAGGAATAAATTAGTCCTAAATATTTCAAAACTAAAAGCATTGTATTTGGGACAAATAATTTACTAAACCCTAAACCTCAACTAAATCTTGCAATAAATAATGTGGAAATTGAGCAAGTTGAAGTGACTTAACTGCTTGGAGTAACCCTGGATTGTAAACTGTCATGGTCAAAACATATTGATACAACAGTAGCTAAGATGGGGAGAAGTCTGTCCATAATAAAGTGTTGCTCTACCTTCTTAACAGCACTATCAACAAGGCAGGTCCTACAGGCTCTAGTTTTGTCGCACCTGGAATACTGTTCAGTCATGTGGTTAGGTGCCACAAAGAGGTACTTTGGAAAATTGCAATTGGCTCAGAACAGGGCAGTTCAGCTGGCCCTTGGATGTACACAGAGAGCAAACATTAATATCAATGTCAATCTCTCCTGGATCAAAGTGGAGGAGAGATTGACTTCATCACTACTTGTATTTGTGAGAGGTATTGACATGTTGAAAGCACCGAGCTGTCTGTTTAAACGACTAGCACACAGCTCGGACACCCATGCATACCCCACATGTCACCAGCGGTCTCTTCACAGTCCCCAAGTCCAGAACAGACTATGGGAGGTGCACAGTACTACATAGAGCCATGACTACATGGAACTCTATTCCACATCAGGTAATTGATGCAAGCAGTAGAATAAGATTTTAAAAAACAGGTAGAATCAGATTTAAAAAACAGATAAAAATACACCTTGTGGAACAGCGGGGACTGTGAAGCAACACAAACATAGGCGCAGACACATGCATACACACACATGATAACATACGCACTATACACACACCTACACATGGATTTTGTGTTGTAGATATGTGGTAGTGGAGTAGGGGCCTGAGGGCATACACTTAGTGTGTTGTGAAATATGTTATGAATGTATTGTAATGTTTTTAAAAGTGTATAACTGCCTTAATTTTGTCAGACCCCAGGAATCCATAATAAATAAAAAATCTTACGCGACATCCACAAGATTGTGTCCGAGGGAAATGCAACTTTTCCCATTGAGTAAGTAACTTAGTGGCCTATATGACTGTATTTAGTAAATACTAACATTATTGTGAGTGCTTATCCAGGGATATTTAGGTCTCAAGCTGACAGTATTTTCTGTTTGTTCTGTAGTTCCAGGAGCAGGCTATCCCGATACAGGCATTCAGATGCAGACATAGCCTTTTATTCTTTAAATGATTGTTTTATGTAGGATGCTACATTTTTGGCCAGTTGTAATTGTAAGTAGGCCTAATTTTAAAAAAAATAATCCCACTTCTATTATGCCATATTTCTTTTTATTGTGAAATATGCTGTAAACCCTTATAGCCTACCTCAGCCAGTTAAGTTATTTTATATAGGACTCTGAAGAAATAGACTCCAAATAGATCCTCTTGCTGTTTGTAAAGTCAAATTAAAATGAAGATTATTGTTGAAATGAATTACTCGACTGGTGTAGGTTTTCTCCATCTGTTGCTATGCAACACTTGCATAACAACTTAGCTATATTTTCAGCACCAGGCGCTGTTCACCTCCTATTGAATGAAGTTAAAATGTAACTATTGTATTATTTAGGTAGGGTAACTTCCTTCTTGGGACATTGCATTTGGGAGTTTTTGCATCTCGGGTCTGAGATTTCTTTATTATAATAATTTGTTTAAATGAAAAAATATTCATTATTAATTTGGGGGGCTTTGGGGGGCCAAATAATATTGCTGGCGGGCTAGATTTGGCCCACGGGCCACCAGTTGGGGAACCCTGCAGTAGACTGTATTACCTCAAGCTGCTCTATAGATTCTAATTACACTGCACAAAATTATTAATGCAACATGTAAAGTGTTGGTCCCATGTTCCATGAGCTGAAATAAAAGATCCCAGACAATCAGATTGCCTCATTGGACAAGTCAGAGTCTATGTTTGAAGTTGTTGAGTGGTTTTTGGCAATACACTGTAGATGTACAGTATGTGTTCCAGAGTAGAGAGTAGAGAGTGTTCCGGAATAGAGAGACCCACAGTAGCAACTGTAATTGAGTACTGGCAGTTTCTCCTGTGGCAGGTGGGAAGGTGCAAATGACCTGAAAAATATCTAATCTCTCAAAGTTCTAATCTCTCAATGTTCATCTCAAAGTGTACCAAATTCATGCATTTAGCTGTTGCAATTCCTTCTTTTTTTGCCGGGGGAGAATGCCCCCGGACTCCCCTACAGACTCCAATGTCTTCAACTCCTAGAAAAGCCCCTGCCAGTGAGGAAGAGGCACTGCAAGAGGTTTCACTCTCTCCAACATAAATTATGTCCACGCGGGAATGCAGCGTTATTCAATGCGTTTCTATAGGCTTAATATGCAGACATAAGCTTGTCACCTTCCTTCCCACCTTTGGGACAACGACTCCCATTCTTAGGGCGGAGACATGAGCATCTAGTCATTATCCAAATACATTACATTGTTACAGCTGTCAAGCTTATGGGCATGTGGCAGCAGCGTGTAGGAGAGAGTTTCCTAGGTGTGCAGAAGGGCATGAGACAAAGGAATGTGTAGCATTGGGGGAAGAAGTGGTATGTGTTAATTGTAGGGGTACCCATGGGGCTGGGGATCAGAAATGTCCGGTGAGAGAGAGGCAGGTTGAGGTTTCCAGGGTTAGAGTAGTGCAGAAGTCGTCTTATGCTGAGGCAGTGAAGAAAGTAGAGGAAGATGGGTCAAGGAGTGCTGTGATTAGTAGATCTGTGCCAGTACAAATCAAATCAAATCAAATTGTATTGGTCACATGCGCCGAATACAACAGGTGCAGACATTACAGTGAAATGCTTACTTACAGCCCTTAACCAACAGTGCATTTATTTTTAACAAAAAAGTAAAAATAAAACAACAACAAAAAAAGTGTTGAGAAAAAAAGAGCAGAAGTAAAATAAAATAACAGTAGGGAGGCTATATACAGGGGGGTACCGGTGCAGAGTCAATGTGCGGGGGCACCGGATAGTTGAGGTAGTTGAAGTAATATGTACATGTGGGTAGAGTTAAAGTGACTATGCATAAATAATTAACAGAGTAGCAGCAGCGTAAAAAGGATGGTGGTCCTCTGTAGCTCAGCTGGTAGAGCACGGCGCTTGTAACGCCAAGGTAGTGGGTTCAATCCCCGGGACCACCCATACACAAAAATGTATGCACGCATGACTGTAAGTCGCTTTGGATAAAAGCGTCTGCTAAATGGCATATTATTTATTATTATGATGGGGTGGGGGGGCAGTGCAAATAGTCCGGGTAGCCATGATTAGCTGTTCAGGAGTCTTATGGCTTGGGGGTAGAAGCTGCTAAGAAGCCTTTTGGACCTAGACTTGGCACTCCGGTACCGCTTGCCGTGCGGTAGCAGAGAGAACAGTCTATGACTAGGGTGGCTGGAGTCTTTGACAATTTTGAGGGCCTTCCTCAAACCATCCTACAGATGGTTAGCCAACAAGTGATACTGTATATGCTTCAGTAAGATTGGATTTTTAGCGTTTATAGCAATGGTTATCAACTGTACCGCAGGGATGGAACATAAGTCGCAGAAAATTGAGGTTGTGGTGGCAGCTGCAGAGAAGTATTTGGGTGTACGAGATTTGAAGTCAGGAGAGTTACAGGGTGTGTTGAGTGGTGGTGTCCTGTCCTTTCAGCTGTGGCCTGAGGTACAATTAGATAGATTTAGTGGAGTAGGGTGGTGGGTTTCTAATGAGTGTAGGGTTAGATTGTAGGGTATTTTGTTCATTTACTAACTTTTTTCAAGCAAAGTATAAGGGAGTTATACTCCAGTCTAGTAGGTGGCGGTAATGCAACATTTATTGGATGCCAACCGCCGTTAAACCTCAATGAAGAAGAAGATCTCGTCATTCTATACAGATCTCTGTTTATACCATAGAATAATACATTGAACGATTCTGCTTGCTCTCACTGGATCTCATCACTTGCAGCCAAATAATTACAGAAAATTAATTGTTCAGGTATTTTTTACATTTTAAATGTGACCTTGTATTTGGGTATGTAAACTAACGAATTCCATGAATCTGCAGTAGGTTGCCGCGGTCTGTCGTCCTTGTTGTTTTCCCAGCAAGTTAGCCATTAGCCTACTAGATAGTTAGCTGGTTAAACCTCCCTCCAACCCGTTTGTATAGCTAGCTAGCTAACTCCAGTTCAGGGTAACAGTTCAGGGTAACGTTAGCTAAACAACCTGACTACCAGTTTATGCTAAACGCATTCCATGAATCTGCAGTGGTTGCCGCTGCCTAGCTTTGTTGTTGTTTTCCCAGCTAGCCATTAGCAAGATAGATAGTTAGCTAACTATACCCCTCTAACCCGTTTGTATAGCTAGGTTGCTAACTTCAGTGCAGGGTAACGGTGGAAGTGTGACTTGCGTTTGGTAGCCAGCTATCGTCTCATTGTGAGCGAAATAACTAGCGAGGAATTAGCTAGCTAGCTAAATTAGCTGGACCAACCGTTGCTAATGAGCAACTGGCTACCGGTTTATGCTAATCCCTGTTGGACGTGATGTGTGGTTAGCTCGTTTAGCTACATATTTGTGTGGTCTTTTCTGGAGCAATCCCACGAAAGATCAATTTGTGAAAACCACCCTCAACTATTTGGGTCTCCACTTTTAGATCTACCCAGCCTACCATGTCAGAACCGGGTTCTGGCTGTGGTGTTCCAGCCCAGAGAAGCTCACAGCGGGGTCCAGAGATGCTGTCAGTGAAGCTGGAGGACTGCAGTCAAACACTCGAACTCAATGTGATTGTGAAAGAGGAGGAGGAGGAGAGAGAAATCAAGGAAGAGGACGAAGAAAACTGTGATTCAGGTAAGTTCTGGCTGTCTTTTCTCACTAGCACAGACTTTGCTGATAGCTACTTTATTGAGGAAAAATGTACTTACTATGATTGAGATATGTGGTTGTCTCACCTACTTAAGATGGATGCACTAACTGCAAGTCAATCTGGTTAAGCGTGTCTGCTAAAATGACTAAAATTGAAAAATGTTCAGACTTACATCCTCTTTGACTTGAGTTCAGGCTGTGTTTGGGAGGGAGGACGAATTTATTTATCCCCAAACATTATAATATTTTATATCTTTCATCTGTGTTATCGCTGTGTGATACAAAGCAACAAGCCCCTTGTAAAGTATTTCTTTCAATGCTCTGTTAATGTACCAGCCCTCCGGCTCACATCTCGACAAATTAAAGAGCAATTGAACGCAAAAAAAACATCTTCTCTGGTTGAAAATGGCTTATGTGGCGTCGATATTAGTCAAACATTTATTCCACTTTCAAAATTGACTAAAGTGTAAGTAGGATAATTTTGGGTGATAAAGTATATTCCATAACAGATTTGTGTAACTGAGGTCGTAATGACTTACATGAGGGTTGTGTTTGGATTACAATCGTGCCCACTAACACAGCTGTGCTGATTGCGCTCTATCCAATCGTAGCCTCCAGACAGTGAGACAGACCTGGCCAATACGCAGCGCCTCGCACTTGGACTTGTTTACATAAGACAACAGGTCACCATGTTATGTTGAAAGAAACCCTTGGCCCCTAAGCCCTTTATGGAGTGGCCACTTGCTGATGTGTTTAATAGGGATCACCAGACCTCAAATTTCCTGGGCCATCGATGCCCCCTTGTGTGGCCGTAATGCCCCCTAAAAAAAATCCATGCCTTCCGGCCAAAGTGTCCGTTGTGCCCTTGGCCTGAATATAATAATTATGATTCCCTTCTCATGGCTGCCAATCGCCCTGCTTCGAAGCACGTCACTCACATGGCTCTCTCAGATATCTCAATTGTTATTAGCCAATGCCCGTCATGTGGTCGGGTCCTTCTCACAGGCGCCGCAGCTCCGAGGTAGGCTACTAGTGAAAACCGACACATCCGGGATGCAACGGCGCGCCTCCTTCTTATCGAATTCCAAGACGCATATTGAAGATGTTAGAAGAAATGTCCACATTTTACTTTTGGTCAGCCAACAAGATGAGTAACTAAAAGTCTACTCCTTTTGCTATGTCAATCTACTATCCCCCATAGTACAAAAGTTGACCTATTCTATTGGTCAGCTTGTTGTTGTTCTGTGCGAGAAATAAATATTCCAAACAGACTCTGGGACAGTTGTGGGACGATAGATCCTAAATCAATACAACCACTGTACATCAAAACACCATTTAAAAGCAATGAGGCTGATCAGAATGTTTAGCTTAAAAAAATGGATAAAGTATTATTTCTTCACATTATAAGCGCAGCAATTCGCACACGGCAGGAGGCTATAAGCGTTTATGGCTACATTTTCTGGCACCTCCATCCTGTCTGCATCGGTCTGGACAAGACAGGTTGTAGCCAATACCATAGTCTATCACCTACACTTTGCCATGTAGGCTAATTTATTTATGTACATTGACATACACTTATGTTTTTTTTTAACACAATAGCTAGTTTTTCGGTTTTTAAATCAATTTAATTGGCTATTTTGGTTAATGGACTTGGTGCCCTAGTAGATGGCCTTGGTGCCCTGGCAGACTGGGCACCTCTTGAAGGTCACATGGCCTTGCCCCCAAAATCACAACATTTCAGGCCTGGTGATCACTCCAGTCTGCCACTGTTTTGGGCGAAATGAGAATTGAGAAGATGCACACTTGCATTCCAACTGCCACTTGTCAATATTCCAAAATTCCCATTCGCGAGCATCTTGTGTCCTGCCGCAACCTGTTTTGTAACATGATTCACTATGAAATACTGCCAGACGTACACATACTCTGGTAATAGAGAGTGAGAAAGTTGTAAGAAACAAAACGGCACCGAAGCGTCACGCGTCACCGCTCGCCAGCGACTTGATAAGCTGATTGAGCTAACGTGGCCTGCCTGCTCAATGTGCCTGCTTCATTGGCAAACACAGAGATGGAACTTGGCTAGCTAGCTAGTGATTTTTAGGAACGTATAAACAGCGTGTAGCTTGTGCCTTATTTACGATAGTTTGACAGCTTGCTGATGATGAAGTTGTAGACATGTTCTCAGACATCAGTCCTGAGCGTAGCCAGCAGCAGCTGACTCAATACTGTATGCAGTGCACTGACTTCTTAATGCCCTTTTTTTAACTTGAGAAATACTGCACCAAACACCTTAGCTCGACGTAAAGTGTGCAACTAAGAACTCCTTGGCAAAACGACGACATGAATTACAGATATAATTATATACAGTACCAGTCAAAGGTTTGGACACACCTACTCATTCCAGGGTTTTTCTTTATTTTTTACTATTTTCTACATTGTAGAATAATAGTGAAGACATCAAAACTATGAAATAACACATATGGAATCTTGTCGTAACTAAAAAATATTTTATATTTCAGATTCTTCAAAGTAGCCACCCTTTTGCCTTGATGACAGCTTTGCACACTCGTGTCATTCTCTCAACCAGCTTCACCTGGAATGCATCCCACATATGCTGAGCACTTGTTGGCTGCTTTTCCTTCACTCTGCGGTCCGACTCATCCCAAATCATCTCAATTGGGTTGAGGTCGGGGGATTGTGGAGGCCAGGTCATCTGATGCAGCACTCCATCACTCGCCTTGGTCAAATAGCCCTTACACAGCCTGGAGGTGTGTTGGGTCATTGTCCTGTTGAAAAACAAATGATAGTCCCACTAAGCCCAAACTAGATGGGATGGCATATCACTGCAGAATGCTGTGGTAGCCATGCTGGTTAAGTGTGCCTTGAATTCTAAATAAATCACAGACAGTGTCACCAGCAAAGCACCCCCACACCATAACACCTCCTCCTCCATGCTTTACGGTGGGAAATACACATGCAGAGATAATCCATTCACCCACACCGCGTCTCACAAAGCCACGGCGGTGGGAACCAAAAATCTCACATTTGGACTCCAGACCAAAGGACACATTTCCACTGGTCTAATGTCCATTGCTCGTGTTTCTTGGCCCAAGCAAGTCTCTTCTTCTTATTGGTGTCCTTTAGTAGTGGTTTCTTTGCAGCAATTTGACCATGAAGGCCTGATTCACACAGTCTCCTCTGAACAGTTGATGTTGAGATGTGTCTGTGACTTGAACTCTGTGAAGCATTTATTTGGGCTGCAATTTCTGAGGCTGGTAACTCTAATGAACTTATCCTCTGCAGCAGAGTTAACTCTCCATTCCTGAGTGCCAGTTTCATCATAGCGCTTGATGGTTTTGCGACTGCACTTGAAGAAAGTTCTTGAAATATTCCGGATTGACTGACCTTCATGTCTTAAAGTAATGTCATTTCTCTTTGCTTATTTGAGCTGTTCTTGCCGTAATATGGACTTGGTCTTTTACCAAATAGAGCTATCTTCTGTATAACCCCCCTACCTTGTCACAACACAACCGATTGGCTCAAACACAGTAAGAAGGAAAGAAATTCCACCAATTACTTTTAGGAAGGCACACCTGTTAATTGAAATGCATTCCAGGTGACTACCTCATGAAGCTGGTTGAGAGAATGCCAAGAGTGTGCAAAGCTGTCATCAAGGCAAAGGGTGGCTACTTGAAGAATCTCAAATATAAAATATAGTTTGATTTGTTTAACACTTTTGATTACTACATGATTCCATATGTGTTATTTCATAGTTTTGATGTCTTCACTATTATTCTACAATGTAGAAAATAGTAAAAATAAAGAAAAACCCTTGAATGAGTAGGTGTGTCCAAACTTTTGACTGGTACTGAATATTAGACAGTAAGGAAGTCAGAGGGGGAGACAGGCAAGTAGGAGAGAAACAGTGGGAAGGGTATTGAACCCTGGTCTCTGGTGGGGAGTCTTCTATGTGATTGGTGAAGGGGACTGTTACCACTACATCACTGCACTAAATACAGATTTCTTGATTTATCTGAGATTAATTTGGACTAATTTGAGGAAGTGGTAGGCTATGTTGTTGCTACCGTGACTCAAGAGGGACAAACAACAGTAACTGCCAGAGTACGATATGCGAACCCAAATCTAGTTTGTTCCCCCGTTTAAGGTTCAATCTTGCCTTTGTTCCGCTTTCTGTTTCTTACCCAATACGTGTTCATGTTCTTACAGGAGAGAGCTCCAACCCAGGCTCAGACAGCAAGTCCAGTCCCACAGCATCAGGAAATCGTAAACAATGCAGACAGAAGCCCCAACCCTGCTGTAGCGACAGTTTGATTTGTCCAACTCACCTCAAATCAAACAAACAGACTCCCAAAAGAAGAAAGAGATGCCCCTGCTCCCAATGTGGGAAGAGTTTCAATCGGACAGGAGACCTAAAGCGTCATCAGAGATCACACAGTAAAAATAAGCCTTACCACTGCGCTCGATGTGGGGAGGGATTCACTCAGCTAGGAAGTCTAAAAAGTCATCAGAGAATACATACAGGGGAGAAGCCTTACCACTGCTCCCAATGTGGGAAGAGCTTTAATCGTTCAGGAAACCTTACAGAACATCAAAGAGTACATACAGGGGAGAAGCCTCACCACTGCACCCAATGTGGGAAGTGTTTCAGTCGGGCAGGAATTCTAAAGAGTCATAAGAGAACTCACACAGGAGAGAAACCTTTCCACTGCTCTGCTTGTGGGAAGAGTTTTACAAGGGAAGTAAGCCTAAAGAATCATCAAAGAGTACACACCGGAGAGAAACCTTTCCTCTGCTCCACATGTGGGAGGGGTTTCAGTGAGAAAGTAAACCTTAATAGACACGAGAGAGTACATAGTGAAGAGAAGCCTTACCACTGCACCACATGTGGGAAGAGCTTTAATCACTCAGGAAGCCTTAAGGAACACCAGAGAATACATACAGGGGAGAAACCTTACCACTGCACTCAGTGTGGAAAGAATTTTCGTTTTGCTGGAGATCTAAAGAATCATCAGAGATCACACAGTAAGGAGAAGCCTTACCACTGCTCTCTTTGTGGGAAGAGTTTCAATCAACCAGGAAACCTAAAGAGTCATCAGCGAATACACATAGAATTGAAGCCTACCTGTACTCTCAATGTGATTGTCAAAGAGGAGGATGGTGATAGTGAAATCAATAAGGTAAAGAGAGAAGTTGAAGAAAATAATGTTGTAGTTGACCCAGGTACATCAAGACTACCTGGTCGAGGGAGTTACCCCTGCCCTCAATGTGGGAAGAATTTTAGTTCCTCAAGTAATCTAAAGAATCATCAAAGAGTACACACAGGAGAGAAACCTTTCCACTGCTCAGCATGTGGGAAGCGTTTCCGTGAGAAAGCACACCTTAAGAGACATGAGATAGTGCATAGTGGAGTGAAGCCTTACCACTGCTTCCAATGTGGGAAGAGTTTCCGTGAGGCAGATACCCTACAGAAACACCAGAGAATTCACACAGGAAAGAAGCCTCACCACTGCTCTCTTTGTGGGAAGAGCTTTAATCATTCAGGAAGTCTTAAGGAACATCAAAGAATACATAGTGGGGAGAAGCCTTACCACTGCACCCAATGTGGGAAGAGCTTCAATCATTCAGGAACCTTTAAGAAACATCGGCAAAGACACATTGGAGAGAAACCTACCTGTAATTTCAATGTGATTGTCAAAGAGGAGGAGGGTGACGGTACTCTCAATGTGATTGTCAAAGAGGAAGATGGTGACTGTACTCTCAATGTGATTGTCAAAGAGGAGGATGGTGAGAGGGAAATCGATGAGAAGGAAAAGAGAGAAGTTGAGGAAGAGGAGGACAATAGTGGTGTAGTTGACCCAGGTACATCAAGACTACCTGGTCGTGGTCGTTACCCCTGCCCTCAATGTGGGAAGAATTTTAGTTCCTCAAGTAATCTAAAGAATCATCAAAGAGTACACACAGGAGAGAAACCTTTCCACTGCTCAGCATGTGGGAAGAGTTTTAGTGAGAAAGCAAACCTTAAGAGACATGAGATAGTACATGAGAAGGAAAAGAGAGAAGTTGAGGAAGAGGGGGAAAATAATGGTGTAGTTGACCCAGATACATCAAGACTACCTGGACGTGGGATTTACCCCTGTCCTCAATGTGGGAAGAATTTTAGTTCCCCAAGTAATCTAAAGAATCATCAAAAAGTACACACTGGAGAGAAGCCTTACCACTGCTCCCAATGTGGGAAGAGTTTCAGTGAGAAAGCAAACCTTAAGAGACACGAGATAGTGCACAGTGGAGAGAAGCCTTACCACTGCACCCAATGTGGGAAGAATTTCCGTGTGGCAGATACCCTACAGAAACACCAGAGAATCCACACAGGAGAGAAGCCTAACCACTGCTATTTTTGTGGGAAGGGCTTTGATAATTTAGGAAGCCTTAAGGAACATCAAAGAATACACAGTGGAGAGAAGCCTTACCACTGCACCCAATGTGGGAAGAGCTTCAATTATTCAGGAAATTTTAAGAAACATCAAAGAATACATATGGGAGATAATCCTACTTTTACTCGCAATGTTATTGTCAAAGAGGAGGAGGGAGAACAGATACACATTAAGGAAGAAGAAGGAGAAGTTGAGGTAGAGGAGAGAGAAGTGAAGGAAGAGGCTACATAAGCTAACTCCATAGGAATGTAAATGCACACTGTCCTGTCCTTGCAATGCTGTGTCAGTATGGGCTTGGGAAGCAACATTGAGGGCGATCTCCATTTTAAAGTAGTCCATATCTTCTTCTACTTCTATAAGTGCATACATTTTTCATACTGGCCCCCATGTGGGCTGCGTTCCAGGACACAGATTCATGCTGGGAGTGAATGCAGGGACTGCCCATGTGATATAAATTATATCTGTATATAGGCTGCGTTCCAGGACACAGATTCATGCTGGGAGTTAATCTGACCGGGTGGGGTTGTCGACAATGCAGCTTTTAAAGGCAATTTCCGACTGAGCAAACAGCAGCATAAGATCTGCGCGAATGTGGGAACGTTGCCTTTTAAAAGTTGGATTGGTAAAAACTTTACATATTTCTTCCATTTTATTTTCTTCCATTTAGCAGAAGCTTTTATCCAAAGTGATTTTCTTCTGGATGCATTTCCACAGACGACACAATAAACAACAATATCTAAACACATTAAAGGGCCAATCCCAAAGTTGAACCAATATCAAATCGGCCACCCTTGTTTTGGTATAAAGCTGAAGGATGGGCCTGGAGAAATGTAACCACTCTCACATTAATAGTCAGAGCTATGGACTGACCGTCCATGATCTCAAGAATGATCATTTTAACCATGTTTTGGGCTATACAGTATGTTTGTTTACATTTACAATGTTTCCAAACATTGGAGGAAAACAAGCTTATATTTTGGGTTCTGATGGGGTGTGACAGTTGAAATAATCTCACAAGGCATTATAGGTTAATAGTCTTCAAGAATCAATAGGGATATACAGTATACTTCATTTATATGTCAAGAAATTGATGTTGCAACAGCAGACTGCCCCTTTAAACACCACAGAATCATAAAGTAACAGAGAGACATTTACATACACCATTAAAACACTTCACAGTCACATAGGCCAGATAGGCCTCGAGCTTACTTTGTTGTTAAACAACGTCTTTGCTTTACTTTTTAAACTGATGAGTGAGATGTGTAATGGCACATTTGGAACACTATTACATGCTGTACAAGGTCATTGATAAGTTCATCCAGAATACAACCTGTCCCGCTGCCTTCCTGTTTAAACGAGTAGGACAGCATCGAATAAAAATGCCCTGTGGGCTATTCTATTGGGTACAAAATAAGGCCATAGAATCATCCCACTGGGCACAGACGTCAGTTCAACGTCTAGTTTTAAGCTATATTTGGTTGAGTTTTCAACTAATGTGAAATCAACAAAACATTTCACCATGTCATTGGATTTAGGTCAAAAGTTGAGTGAAAAGAAATACGAAATTCCCTTACATTAAAAACTTTTCTCAAATCCAATCAGTTTTCCACGTTGATTCAACATCATCACATTGAAGGTTTTGGTTGAAATGATGTGGAAACAGTTTTTGCCCAGTGGGATTGTGATTATTTTTTATTTTTTACTCAGGAGAAGGGCTGGTTTGGATTGACCTCAACTAAACAATATGAGTGTATTGTTATGTCATAATCTCCCGAGTGGCGCAGTGGTCTAAGGCACTGCATCGCAGTGCTAGCTGTGCCACTAGAGATCCTGGTTCGAATCCAGGCTCTGTCGTAGCTGGCCGCGACTGGGAGACCCATGGGGCGGCGCACAATTGGCCCAGCGTCGTCCAGGGTAGGGGAGGGAATGGCCGGCAGGGATGTAGCTCAGTTGGTAGAGCATGGCGTTTGCAACGCCAGGGTTGTGGGTTCGATTCCCACAGGGGGTTGGAAAAATATATATAATGTATGCATTCACTAACTGTAAGTCGCTCTGGATAAGAGCGTCTGCTAAATGACTAAAATGTAAAATGTAATAATCTGGATGTAACCTATGTGTAAAATATTGTCAAGTATCCTTGAATTGAATTATAAATGTAAACAGAACCAACTGTCTGTGTAATGCCTCTTCTTCATTGAAGTGTATTATGTTGGTTGACCTCCTACCCACATCAGTGCATTTTTGTACACTTTTTCAGGAAGGTCGGGAAAATGGAGTCCCTTGAGGAGGGCAAGAACAAGATGGATGTCAGGAGAAGTGCAATATTATCACAAGGCAGGATGTTCCAACTGGCGGCCCGCGGGGCTGTTATTTGTTGGACATAATAGACGGAAAAGGAAATCTGTTCCCAGGTATTCCCACGCATAATAGAGAGAAACGTGATCGTATACGCTTCTTGCGGTCAATTTGCCACCTTCAAATAATTTATAATGATGTTCCGGACCACCGACCAATCCGCTCAAGAAGAAATTTGCCCACAACTGAATCTAGTTGATGATCCCCGTCATAAGGAGAAGTACACTTGGAATATGGAGGAGGAATGGAGGGGAAAAGAGGCAGAGGAGGTCTGAGAGAGAGAGAGGAAGAGGGTGAGATTGAATCGGTTTAGAAATGGCGGAAAAAAGGGAGATGGTTTGTTAAAGAAGAGTGGTAGAAAGTCTAAGCAGAGATGAGCCGGACGACGGATCGAGGTCTGGAGGAGAAATGGAAGTGAATGAGGAAAAATGATCGGAGGTGGAAGGTGTGGTAAAGTTCTCAGAGCCCGAGGTCCGAGGGTCAGGATAAAGAGGACCCCTGCCTTTTGGCTGATCCAT